ATTAATGGGGCATGACTAGGGAATAATATTTCCATAAATAATTCTCTGAAACAGCATTAAAATGCTAAAATTTTAAATTTATGTAGTAAATCTAGCACTATTTTTTAAAAAGCTATATCTAGCTATAACTTCAGGTAAACGTCTTATGCTAAAGTTATTTTTAAAACTAAATTTAGTCTGACATGGAGAGATTAATTTTATTTATGTCTTATCCTAAGGTACCTGGGAGTCAAGAAAATGATACTCAAATCATAACAGTATAAAGGACACTGCATATATTTATAAAACATTTATAAAATCTTTAAATGTTAGATTAACATCACTTTTTCAAAATAATGTCATCCGTTGTTAACTCTATGCTCTATTATTCATTAATTGAGGGGAAAAATGAGTGAGTAGATCATCCTGCAAGGGTAAACATAATTTTTAATGGAAAACTGTGTGGCAAAAACTGCTTCTAAGAATATGAACTAAACTCTATCTAATATGTATTAAACTCTTCCTCTAGGACACATGGTATCAGAACAAGGAATATTAAAGATTGATCAGAATCAGACATACATTCATGCTTGTAAAGAAGGCTGCAGAGTTATCTCTACTTGTAAAATATAAAAAATTTAAAGCAAACTTTCTCCATGGAGAAAAAGAGTGATTAAAAACACTTAATTTTTCTCTGTATATGAATAGTTGCAAAATATTGATTGAGTTGATTATTTAAAAAGCAGGTAAGGCTGATTATACACATTAGTGGTTATAAAATCTTAAGTATGCGGTAATTTCTTTAGCTACAATGGATGTTCCACTAATTCCCCGCCCCTCCCACCCCCAAATAAAAGAGGAACCAGTGCAACTCTTTCAGTAGAGCGAGACTATGCCCTTGGTAATACGGCCCAATATGTAAGGACCAAGAGAGTACCTGGTGTCATTACCGTGATTCTACAGTTTTCTAGTTTATGAATCATCTCTATTGTGTGACATCAACAAAAGAAACATAGAGTAAATGAGAAGTTAAGTACATCTTTGCATGGGTTTCAGACCACTTTAAGAGGAAATGGCTGAATTTCTATGAAATCTCAATGAGCAGCTGCCATGTGACTGGCATTAGTTAGGCACTCATAATAAACCTCAATGTAGTAAGTCAATAGTTTACTAAGGACTTGTGGTTAATATTATTTTTATTATGACAAAGTTAAGAAACCACTGTGGCCAGTGGCCCCTAAGCTCCTATTTTACAATGGTGGGTTTGCAATCAGTGAAATCATCGCCTCTGGGGAACTGGATGTGCTAATGAAGGTAGAGTCCTACATTGCCTAATTAGTGGCAAAAGCGAAAAAAAAATAGTATCAGAAATGATCAGGGGGCTTGGAGGGGCATTTGCCCCTTCATAAATGCCACAAGAACTTTTAAGTCTGCTTGCCAAAAGACAAGGAATTTTAAGTCTGTGTGCCAAGAGGTGCACTTTCTTCCTTTAGGCTTTTATTCATCTGATACACAGATAAGATTAGGAACTAGTGGGGGGGGTACGTGGAGGGAGGGATGTCATTTATGAATACACAATAATAATGCAAAACATTCTTCAAGACTTAAAAGCATGATCACTTGTCAAATTCTTACTCATCACATCTTGTCCCTCTGCAGGCAGTTATTAAAAGTAGAATGAATGTGGCTATAGGTAAGGAGAGATATATGGAACCAATGCAAAGGACAGGTGAAGTGGCAGGTAAACTGTCAAAGTAAATTTAAAGACAAAGAACCAAACCTTGTAAAATTGTAAAATTCATATATTAATAATGTCTCCAGAAAGCAATCCCTAAAATTAACATTAATTAGGCAATGTAGGACTCTACCTTCATGCTGTTTCTTCCAGTCCAAGGCCTGCTGTTTCCCTAAACACAGTCAGATTAATTATAAGATCTATGCATTTCTTCACCTATCTTCATTATCTACAGCCCAGTGAAGGTCAGTCAATTTAGTGGCCATGAAAAGCACGGCTTAATAGAAGCCAGAAGAGTTGACAACAGCCCAGTAAAGTTCATATTTATAATTTATCAAACTATTTCAATAACCTTTTGAAAATGTACTGAATTACATTTTAGTGATGGGACCAGTGACACACATTTGACCTAAAGTCTCTCAGATGCAGTGTCTGGTCTCAATCACAGTAAATCTCTGGTATTGGGTCACACTCAGGTGCAGGGGCCTTTTATGGCCAAGAGGATGTGTGGCACTTTCAGTAGATCTTTGTGGTTGTTCACCTCATCACAAGGCTCATGAATCTGATATACATTTACAGATATACAAGTGTCAGTGAATCTTCTATTAGTTAAGCTGGGGTGACTGAGTTGTATGATCAACTCAGCATTTAATTATTTACTGAGAGACTATAATGTACTCAGAATTGAGTTAGGTTAATCTGTGTTTTTTCAGTCTTTAGATACTTTATTTAATCTACATAACTCCTTGGGTTACACAATCACATAACCTACATGGTCATAAAATCAAAGAGAAAATCAAGAAGAAAAACCCTTAGTGGTAGCATGTAAACATTTTAGCTTTCATGTTTTATTCTGCAGCAGGATAGCATATTGCTATTTATATACATTTAAATTAATATAATATAAAGATAGTAGCTAATTTAAAATATAAATAATCTCCTTTGTTTAACGTTTATATTTGTCAGAGGTTTGAAATGAATAAAACCTTTGCTCTCATAAAGACCTACTATTGTTTTATACAAAAATTTAATTATTCCATATTTCAATATTTAAGAAACTTAGGTGTACTGAAAACCAAACTGAAAGTGTGAACTCTATCAGTTTATGAAAGTGCAGCTGTGGCTCCCAAGGCCAACTTAGGTCAAAAAAATTAAACTCATGTTCTGTGAAGCGAGACACTGGGAATATATGTTAAATAGACTCTTAGTGACTTAATCAAGCAAATAATCACAGTATGAAAGTATTGCCTACAATAGTGCTTTTAAAAATGTACATCTTTGTCTACTATTAACATTTTTCATTTCTGGGTAAAAGTATTAATTTTATTAAATTTAAATTTAAAAAAATTTTAAATTATTAAATTAAGAAAAGTTTTGAAAATTATCAAAGGAAATAGCAGAGAATCTGTACTGGCAAAAAAATAATTCAGAATGGAATAGAGACATGAATATTTTAAATAATTTATATAGGAAAACTGAGCAAGATTCAAAATACAAACTTTTATAACATATTTTAGAGATATATCATTTAACTTCAATAATACACAATAAATGATTCCACTACTACTAAATTAATAATTAACATTTTCAAACTTCTGATTGTGTTTTATTGTTTCATTTTAGCTGTATTTTCAACCAATACTCAAAATTCCTTCACTTAATCACTCACCTAAATAGTTTCCCACAATCTTGTTGCAGACAATAAAAAAGGGAAATTTCTACTTAATGATACAGTATCGGTATAGTATTTGAAGTTAAATATTGATTCCATATTTTCTAATTTGCCTCATGAATTGCTGGCTGTTTGTGTGCTGTGTTTTTATCCCCAACAATAGTATACATTGTAAAGCATGCAGCCCATACCATTGTGTTCCCAGTGTGCCTATTAATTTACTAAATCTTTTGTCAAAATCATTAAAGAAATCAACTTTTTATAGCTTTTTAAATTGTAATATTATTGATCATCTTTAAAAGGTATACTAGACAACATCATCATATTTGTATAGAAAATTCTGAATTACTATTATAAGTAGAATGTCAAAAATAGCAAAAATGTTTTCAATATTTTTGTTGTAGTACAACAAAGATACAAATGTTTGAAAAAATTCATGAAGTACAAGAACACTACAATTAAAATTCAATGTACAATTATAATTTTTTAAAAATTGACAGATTTCTTAAATTCCAGCTAGAATTTCAAAAATTCCTTTGTAGGGCCATGAATATTATTCAAACAGGATAAATATTAAGTTGGAAACTTGAGATAACTACTTTAACTATATATTTTACTAATATATTGATTTGAAAATATTAATATTTAATAAGTTTGCTTTTCTCCAAGAAAACATAAAAGTAAAAATGTTATGGATATAACATATTTATAAATAATACATCTAAAAAAATTTTGGTAGGTACAGAAAGGAATGATGCCACCTTAAAGGGCAAAAAGAAGTAAAAGATAACATGAGTGTGAACATCTAAGGCGATATACACATAAATTTAGTTAAAATGGTATTAATCTCAAATAGTGCTGGCTTTCTAACTCTGTGATGTATTCATTTTGAAATCTATACATGAATTTGAAAATAAGGATACCACAGTATTGTGTATCCTTCAAAACTTACATATTTAAACTAAGAGTAACTTCAGCAAAACACGAAAGATCATATAAGAAATGATCACCAAAGATACTAGAAAACTAAAATTATATTTTATTATTTAATATGACTGAAACTAGAAATTAATTCAGAAAGACACTATAGAGTCCAAATTTTGATGCTGATCCCTAAATAAGAGGGTAATTAATAGCACAGTTTCATATTTTTCTCAAAAGAAAATCCCATATTTTATTATTTAATATGACTGAAACTAGAAATTAATTCAGAAAGACACTATAGAGTCCAAATTTTGATGGTGATCCCTAAATAAGAGGGTAATTAATAGCACAGTTTCATATTTTTCTCAAAAGAAAATCCCTATGTAATTTCCCATCAACACTGAAATACCAGTCAGTGAGTTGGGGGTGAAGGGTATGCTATAAGCTTATAAGTTAAAAAATATATATTTTATTTCATTTCATTGGTTAAGGTATTTAACATTGCAAATGATTTACAGTGACAGCATTTAAATTATTTGTGAAAAATACAGTGACATTTATGGGGAAAAAAAATCCAAGCTAGAGAAAGGTTCTTGCTTTTTCGTTTTCTAAATCTCATGTTTAAAAGAGAAAATAAAGTAAACAAATAGCTGACCCAATTAAATAAGTGGGCTTCAAAGTGCTACTTACTGGCATGACAATGTTGTAGTGGATGCAGAACCCTGGTTCAGAAGGAAAATATTCATCAGATACAAATCTTATCCTGATTTGATTTCCTTTAGAAATCTGTTTTCCTGGTACAGCACCAGAACCACACCAGCGCCCTAAAATAGTTCCATCACTGGGTTCCTCAACTTCTACAAAATCATACCTGTAATGAGACAAAAAGAAAAGAGATATAAAGTCCTAATATTTAGTTTTGGTAATTCAAATCCAATGGCTGTGGATGCAATAAATCAATAGATCACAGCAATGTGTTAATCCCAAATTTACCTGGGTAAATATAATTAAACATCTCAAAGAAGACACACAACTAAAAATGGCTTCTCAGTTGAAGAAATATGAATCATCTAAGCCTTCTAGATTTGCTATTAACAAATTCCAATCACTGAACAGCCATCTTAAAACTTAAATATTTTGTACAGAACAAGCATACCTAACGTTTGATTCATGAATTATTCAATGTAATTTCTATCTGGACATGACAGTCTTAGTCCAACCTTAATTTCTATTATTATTGCCCATTGCTTTCTAACAGTAACTCTTTCATCCTAGTCAGGCTCCTTGGGTCCCTTTCCTCTGGTATTGCAAGCTTTCTAGAGCCACTTCACTATATACACATCCTTCACATCTCACTTTGAATGCACTGCCTCTGTGAGACCTTCTTGGGTGTTCTCAGCTCACTGTTATCTTTGTCTTTTTGACAAACACATATTTCTAATATTAACCATATACATGTAAGTGACCTATCTTCTTAGTTAGGCTGTCAAATCCTTGAAGAAAGGAATCAGTTCTTGCATGTTTCTATTTTACACTGCACTACACACATCTTAAACATAAGGAATAAATGATTATTTGTTTTAAACAACTGCCAACTTTGGTTTGGAAGGTTTAGATCAGTGGTACTCACTTAACGCAGTATAATCCCATGAGAGAATGTTTCAGTAATTTGTAGAAACATCTTAAGTTGACCCAATGATTGGGGGTGAAAAGAGCACTACAAAATGTAGTAAGTAAGGCCCAAGAATGGTTAATACTGGAAAATCCCCAAAATGAGTATTTGCCCCACGTCCCCATGACTTTCAAATATTTCACAGAGCATTTCATGGAGGTGGAATTTCTGCTATCATTCATCTGAGTTTGGAAGCTAACATTGTCTCATGTATAAACACATATATGTTTTGTACTGCTTTAGCTTAAGCTGAATTTTCCAGAAATTAACTATTAAATAAATTGAGAAAAGTTTCTGTATTTTGTTTGGAGCTTTACCAACAGTTATTCAATATTTTGGAAAAACATGTCACCAACAAGAACAAGGGTTATACTATTTGCACTGTAATTAAAACAATGAAAAAAACAGAAAAGTCTAAAATTCAGTAGATTTTGCCAGAGAAGCAAAAATATATGTTTTATGTAGTATTGAATTTGCAGACAAAAAACAACAAGCTTTCAACAAGAAAAAAGGACATAAAGTATATAATGAAATAATTGTTAATCTTCCTCCTAAAGAAGTATCCAGAACTCTCATGGCATGTAGCTTTTATCTGTCGTCTTGGCCTTGTTTTCTCATCTATAAATTGAAGATAATCCCACAGAACTCGCAGGGATATTTTAAGAAAGAAAAAATGGGACAGCACATGTGCAGTGCCTAAAATATTGTGGGCACAGAGTTACCCATGAATAAACCCACCTCTATCCTGCATCCCTCCCAAAGCCCCCTTCCCCCAACACCTGCCTTTTAACATATCCTTGGGAGTTCGAAAGCAATAAATAAGAAACTACAAAGAGGAGATAATGTTTATTCTGTATCATATGACAAGTCCAGGGTTATAAACTACAAATGCATAAGCCAGCCAATATAACCATTCCAGGAATTTTGGTGTATGTGTGCCTAGGGTGGGGAAGGGGGCGTTGGGCAGGGGTAGATGGAGCCGGTTAGAACAGACCCAAGTAGATATTTCAGATCTACTTGGTACAAAAGTTGATAATTATCATTTTTATCACATGGTAATTTTTATATCACGATTGTCTACATGTGAAACAAAGCTTCTATTCATAGAGTATCTGTTTGTTCTTTGCTTGGGAGGTAAACCTATCCGATGTGGGTCACCACTGCTCATTCAACAGGTATTTGTGAAGCACTGACTTGTTGCAAACTGCTGTGCTACATTCTCAGGATAAAAAGATAAAACTATAGTTTCTTTGAGGTCTGAGTCCATAAAACACATAGATAAGTGCTCTGATGAGAGTGTGTAGGAAATACTGTGGAATACTGGAAGAGTAAGTGTAATTATATACAATGAGATTAGGGTCGGTTTACAAAGGAGTTGACATGTGGGCTGTCAGTAAGTACTGAGTGACCATGGGTAAAAAAGAACGGAAATAAAAATTCTGGTGAGAAGTATAATACGTAAGATGTAAGAGAGGAGGGGGGGCCAGGCATGGTTAATCATGAATAGAGGACAGGAAACAAAGAAGTAGATGGAGATAAAGCTGAAAAAATAGGGGTAGGTGAGAAGGCCTTGATATTTCAGAGTAAGATGTTAGAATAATACTTTGTAGATCAATGTTGCAACAGATGGCACAGTTTTAATAGGCCCTATGTCTCTTAAAATTCTAAGTCAACATTTTAAAAAATGAATTTCAAAGAAAACCTGGATTTCTGCCTTTTTTTTTTTTAATTTTCAAGATCTAGTAATACTGAATATCATTAGCTTTAGTGTGACCCATGAAGGTTGATCTCCAGAACTGATGTCAGCTCCAAGAGAGGAGGTACCTTTATTTAATTTAATGTCTTATCTCTAGCACTTACATCATGCCAGGCACATGGTAAACCCTAAATCAGTATTTGGTGAGTGAAGGAATGTATGTGTGCCCTTTGTAGCAACTGAGGTTGAGGCAAAATGGCAAAAACTTTAGATGAGCCATGTTCTTTCTAGTTTTTAAAAAAATTCTTATCTACTTTCTATGCTTTCTGTATATACCCGGATCTCTTTATTTATTTATTTACATGATTTGCCCCTGTAGGCATCTGAGTTTGCCACCCTTGCGGTTTACCAGGCAGAGCCCTTGGAGGTTTCAGTGAGAGGAGTAACACAGACTTAGAATCATCATGTAACTGAGGAATGCCAGGAAGCAACATTTCAAACGTGGGTCAAAAGAAATCCACCATTGCAGTTTACCAGGCAGAGCCCTTGGAGGTTTCAGTGAGAGGAGTAACACAGACATAGAATCATCATGTAACTGAGGAATGCCAGGAAGCAACATTTCAAACGTGGGTCAAAAGAAAAGATCCTTTAATAAAAGCATCCTGAAAAAGAGCAGTTGGGGAAAAAACCATCGTGAGTGATGGCAAAGAGGCTCATGTAAAAGGCAAGGGGGGAATTTCCATCAGAGCAGAAGTGGTCAGTAGTGCCAAGTGCTGAAGAAAGATCAAAGACGAAAACCAAAAGTATCCACTGGATGTGGCCATATGATGTCATTTTCAACAAAATGGTTGGGAGGAACACATTGAATCAAAAAGATTTTTGAGACCATTTTCAAAATAACTATTACAATCTTTCTAATATGGAAAGAATCCTAAGAGAAAATAATATCATATTTGGGAAACATTAAATTAACAGCTTAGATAGTTATTTTACTACACATGATATTCTTTTTATTTCTGTTAAAAAAAACATTATGTGTTTATCTGATTTGTTACTTCTTTAAAAGTACTTAAAAATGGTTTTTAACCCCACACAAGAATATCTGGATCATAAATGTTAGGAGTTTATTAAAGAAAAGCAAGTCTTAACTTTGGCCTTATGCAAAATCACAGTCTTGCAAATAAGAGAAAGGTGATGAGTACATTAATACTTATTCATGAAGATTTTCTACTGATTTTGATGCCATTTAAAAAATAAACATAATCTTTATAACAATTTCTGGATTTGCAGCTAGACAGCTGGCAATTAATTCTTACATGCTCATGCAAGTCTGGTGCATACATTTTCATAGTGTTTTAAAAATCTATGTAGCTTTGCATTCCACTAAGGTTAAATGAAATGAACATATAAAAAAATACCATATTCTTTGCCTATAAAGCAGTAGAATTTAGCATGTGCTACTAACTGTTTCATGGTACATTAAACATTTCATTTTTTCAGAACTGATGTCATACAAAAATGTAATTCTAAAATTCATCCAATTATTGTACCATTAATTTTTATGGTTATCCTCAACAACTATTAAGATGTCTATAAAATGTAAAAGTATTAATGAAATCATTATTTACTAAAGCTTAGTTTGTTCTCTTAATCAAAACAGTAAATCTCCTTGCTCAGGGGTATAATTACACAAATAACATTTCTTTTTACTGAAATCATATTCAAGGTCACGTAAAATCAGACCAACTGATGATCTAACTGGAAGTATCCTCATGCCTCATTATTGATAGCTTATCTTCAAAACACCAGCCCCCCCAAAAGCAACCCCCCAAAACCCCACCATTGCCACTTGATCCGTATTTTCTTTCAACTTGTTTGAGAGTGCAGAGTGAGGCTGGAAAAAGAATAATGCATTAAATCCAGTCTTCTTCCCTTATCATTTGAAATTTTTCTTTTTTCTGACAGGATGCCATTTGCAGAATAAGGAACTCATAGCAGAAGTTGATTGGTTGATATATTTTAACATAGCTCAAAAGATCAAGTAGAAAATGAAGAGAGAACACAATGATGAAAGATATATCTGTAGCCACAGGCACCTGAAAGGTAGATGAAAAAAACCAAGCAATACTGACACAGAAAATTGAAATCACAAAATATAACCATCCCTAAATTCAGAAATGTATGCATGCCTAGGTGACTGTTCTGGAGACATGGTAATCCTTATAATACACCCTCAGGTATTAATTTCCAATGTGCATAATTGCCCACATCAGTATTTAAAGGATTTACTAAGCCTATTTTATGAGCCAATCAAACATCACTTTCTCAGGGCAACATGATACAGAGCAAACAGCACTAAGTGGTTTGTAATGATCACTCCCTTTCTCTAACATACCCCTGGGGACCCATGGAGGATTTATGTTCTTTTATGTTTAACAAACAAGTCTGGCATTGTAGACAAAATTTTGGTTCTCGTGTGGGAATTTAAAAAACCAAGAGGACA